GCGCGGGCGGATGCGGGGCGAGGGGGCGACCGGGCCGCGCGGCGGGCTCCGGCCTGGGGGGAGGACAGGGAGGAAGCCGTGGTCCCTAGCCCGCCCTGGTTCCGCGACCCCCCTTCCCGGCCTGTTTGAAAAGGAAGGCTGGGTTTCCTGCCTTAGAAAACTCGGGACAAACGGAAAACGCCCGGTGGAGGGCTCCCCTCCCCTGGGCCATCGTCGCATCCCAGCGCCCCGACCCCAGGGTGACCTTGGGCCAGTCACCGCGCTCCTACTGCGTCGAGGTGGTCTGGGCCGGCCCCTCCTGGAGTCTCAGGTCATCTGGCACCCACTGATGACCCTCATGCCCTCCCAGGCCCTGCAGGCGCGCCCACTGGAGCCAGGGGTTAAGACCCTCCTGGCGTCCCTGGCCTGCTGGTCTCCAAATCCTCCTGGAAAAGTGTGGGGCAGAGATGGCCCAGGGCAGCCGAGCTGACCCTCTGTCTGCCAGGCCCCAAATCTCCATCTGGCCCAGCCCTGGGGAAGCTGGGGTCTGGGGTCTGCCCTGTTTGGACAGGAGTGGGGCGTGTGTGCAGGACCCAGAGACAGGAGCTGTTGGGCGCGCAGGTCCCGGGGGCAGCTGGGGAAGAAGCCGGGCAGACCACTCTCCAGTGTGGTACATTCTCAGAGCCTCTACCCAGCAGGGTGGTGAGGCTGGGGTACGGCAGTGTAGGCTCTGGCCCATGGTACCGCTTCTAAACTGCATCCTTCTGCTGTCATGGACACCAGACCCAGGGCCTGCACTGGGAGCTGCCCCTCCTGCCCACTGCAGTCCCAGCTGCCTGGGGTGAGGCATCCTGCAGACTGCACACCGGGTGTGGATGCCCTGAACAGGACTGTCTGGGAGCAGGGCCTCAGCTCACGGGCTCTGGGGGTCAGGTTTGGGTGGGGATACCACTGAGGGGCTTACCTCAAACTGGAGGACACTCCGAGAAAGAGCCTGGGAGGGGCGGGGGGAGCCAGGTGGGGGTGGTGTGGGGGTGGGCAGTGCCCTCCAGCCTAAGCCCCATGTCTAGCCCTGGTGGAAAGGCATCCCCCACCCGCCATGTCCCGAGGACCCACCTGCCATTGTTTGCTGCCTGAGGAAACCCACAGGCCTGGTCCTGTCCCTCTTTTCTGTTTTCTTTCTCAACAAACCTCATCAAGCCCATTCAGTTCAGAGAGAATCAGGCCTGGGGGTGGGGGTGGGGCTGAGGCGCAGCGTGGGTCCCCAACCAGAGTCCTGTCCTCAGCGTCATCACCTGGGTCCCCAACAGGAGCAGGCCTGGCCCCAGTCCTCAAGGTGGCCGGTCACCTGGGTCCTGATTCTAGCCGGCCTGGTGCTGTTCACCAGCGTGGTCACCTAGGTCCTGAGGCCCTCCTGATGTGGGTCCCTTACTAGAGTAAGAGCTGCTGTCTTCCTTTGAGAAGCCGCACAGGCCCCCACAGAGCCAGCAGGCACGGCCGTGCTAGTCTTCGGGCAGCCCAGCTAGGACTCGCTAAGAGTGGCACGCTGGCTCTGAGCCCTCTCTGCTGTTCAGCCCCGTGAGTGGGAGGTGGCAGGCGGCTGGCAGGCTGGCATCCTGGGGGACTGATCAGACCTCAGCTGTCAGCCCTCCTGATGGCTGATGGAAGCCACAGGCTGTTCAGTGGAGCCACCACTGGGGGCAGTTGTTCACGCAGCCCTGGCTTCCCTGCTGTCCTGGTCAGACGGCCCAGAAGCACCTGAGACTTTGCAGGGGGAGGGGACAGTGCAGTGCCTTCTGCAGGCCGTTCCTCCAGGCTGGGATGTACTGGGCAGCGGTGAGGGGAGAGGGAGCACTGGCCCTAGCCAGCACCTTTGGGAGCTCCAGCTTCGGATGCTGGTATGGGAGACAGTGCCCTAGCTCATCCATGCCACCAGAGAGTGGAATCTTCATTTGGCAGCTGGGGAAACCTAGACCAAGAGATGGAGCACCGTAAGGACCTGCAGCCCTTGCTGTAACACTGGGTTCACCAGGACAGGGTGGGGGCTTCGGCCCTCCCTGGCTGGTCTGGTCCACTCGGAACTGCCCACCAGCCTGTCGTGCAGCTAGGGTGTACGTACGGTGGGGATGTCGGGAAGTTCAGTGGCATGAGGACAAGATGAGGGGAGTTTAACAAGGACTCCATTCAGCGAGCTGGTCACCCTCACCTGCCCCGAGGGAGCCCAGGTCGCATGGTGGGCGGGCGCTCAGCGGCCAACAGGAAGGTCAGCGGATGGAACCCACTGGCTGGTCTTCAGGCTGTGGCTTCTGTAGATTCACAGTCTGCGGGTGGCTGAGTGGACCAAGTTCAGCATGGTCAGTGACAAGGCTGGGTGGCTGTGTTGCTGAGGGGCCCTGCTGGGGAGTCCAGGCCTCTGGAGGAAGGCAGGCCCGGAAGGTGTGAGCGGGCCTCAGGGGCTCCCTCCGTCCGTCACAGCGGCACCACGTCTCTCCCTCCAGGGCAGGCTCCCAGGCCTCAGGGGCAGGTACGTCTTCCTGGTCTGGCTGGGCGTCCTGGCGGGCAGCTGGATGGTGTATCTGCACTACTCGTCTTACTCGGAGCTCTGCCGTGGCCACGTCTGCCGGCTGGTCATTGTAAGTGACCTCAGGGCCCCCGAGGGGCTGTGCCCCCTCCACTCCTAAGGTGGCTGTGCAATGAGGCTGTAGGGATCAGAGACTCGTCCTCTCAGTTCTGGGGCCGCGAGGCCCCCCTCTGGGTTCTGTCTGTAGCCGGGGTGTTGCAGAGCACCCCCTGGCCCTCTCGTATGTACCCTTCTGCACCTGTTCCTCGTGCAGAGAGCATGGGGTTAGGACCACCTTCCCCAGCTGGCCTTGGACAGTTTAACCCACACCAGCTGCAAAGCCCCGTTTCCTCAAACAAGGTCACTGTCACAGGGGTGGGGTGAGACTCAGCCTGTCTCGGGGCCACAGCCCAGCCCCCGACACTGAGAATGTGACTGGCACAGGCCCGAGGTGCCGGGGGTGGAGGTGGGGCCCTTCTGAAGATTCCAGCCTTGCCTACAGGCCGGCAGGTGGACTGCCCCACGGGGTTTGGGAATGAGACTCTGAAGAGCTACTTCAGCTGTGGAGATCTGGGCGGGAAGTGCAGAGACCAGTGGGGGCTGCTGCAGGTTCCCAGGAGGTGGGAGGGTGAGGATGGGCTGGTGGCTGGAAACGCTCTTGGCTACAGGCCTCTCTGTCCCCCACCTTTGAGCAATGGGCAGCAGAAGCCTGAGTGGGCAGGAGCCCTGGAGGCAGTGACAGGGCTATGACAGCCTCACCCCGGGGCAGAGCCCTGGGAGTGGTCAAGGAGGGTCCCCTCGGATGCAGCAGCCCAATACAGCAGGGACTGCCAGGCAGGCCCGTGCCTACTCCGTCCGCATTCCCTCTACCAGGCCTCTGCTGCGCCGTGTGGCTGGCCTCGGCCCCTCAGGGTGGCTGTGGTGCCTGCAGCCATGGGCCTGGCTGAGGGGCTTCTACACTTGGGGAAGCCATGTCTGAAGGTGAATCTGGAGGAGTCTGGAGGAGGCAGTGGACAGGGTCTGGCCTCCAGTGGACAGGAAGCCACATGTGCAGCACGGGTACTTCTGGTGGTAGAAGAACTGTGAAGGGGCTTGCAGAAAGCTGTCCCTGAGGAAGGTGGGTGGGAGAAGGAACAGCAGTCCTTGGTGTTTCTGACAGACAGACGTGGGCACATGTAAACACAGGGGCTGAGGTCACGGGCTCTTACACAGACTGGTGACAGGCCACAATAGCACAGGCCCACAATGATAATCTCTCATTCTTCCTTCAAGTTCTTTAAGTACGTACTGCTGGCTTCCAGGGGCCTGGGCTGGGCACAAGGTCCTGCCTCTGCTCTCCCTCCCCAGGGCACTGGCCACACAAGGCTCTCACACGGAGCCGTGTGCCGGGAAGGGGGCCTGTTGGGGTGGCAGAAGTGCTGCAGGTAGAGGAGGGGGGCTGGGCTGGAGCTGCCGGTAGCAGATCCTGGGGAGCAGGCCAGGGCTGTGGAGAGCCAGCAGACCTTGGGGAAGGTGGGCGCCAGGACCGGAGGCGGCTGCCTGGCCCGGGTGACTGGCTGAGGCTGGGGGTGTGGAGAGGTGCTTGAGTACGAGCTCAGCACTCTTGTCCTGAGTGGGTGGCTGGGGCTTGGCCTGTCCTCTATGGGGCCTCCTGGCTGCAGTCTCCGAGGCTGGGGTCCCCGCTGATTCAGGCAGTGCTAGGTGCTGAAACGGACAGAGTTCAGCTGTGTACCCCACCAGTCACACGTCAATAGTTCCCCCTAACAGGACTCTGCCCATGACCTGGGGTGGGTGCTCAGTCTTCTGCATTGACACCTGAACCTCACCTGGCACGCCTCTCCACCAGAGGAGGAAAGGTGGGGCAGCTCCCCCTGCGCCCTGCTTGTAGGTGGGAGACAGGCCGCCAGGTGAGCATGGACAGCAGCTTCCCACGGAAAGACCCCAGGGGCCCCCCTAGCCTGGCCTGTCTGCAGCTCTTCCTGTTGGTGACTCTGGGCATCCCTAGGAACCTTGGACCTGCACCCATCACTGTGCACCTGGTGTTAGTGGCCCTGGGGTCTCCACACTCCCAGCCTGCCAGGCCCCTGTGAACCTGTGAGACCACAGGGCAGCTCTCCCTTTGCTTGGCTCCTTAGAGCCCTGCAGTGGTCCTCTGTCGGCGTAACCGGGGTGAGGGGACCCGCCTCCCCTACTGCAGGGTCAGAAGGGTGGGGGAGGCCTGAGAAGGACAGGACGGGCTGGGGCAGAGCCCAGGCTGGGGCAGCAAGCTGCATGCTGGGACTGTACCTAGCGGGGAACAGGACTAGGAAGGCCAGCGGCTTGTGCCCTCCGGTCACCCGTGTCCCTCCTCAGTGTGACCAGTACCACAAGGGCATCATCGCGGGCTCTGTCTGCCGGGACCTGTGTGACCTGCACACTGTGGAATGGAGGACCTGCCTGTCCTCGGCCCCGGGGCAGCAGGTGAGGGGATGGGGGGCAGGCTGGGCCCCCTCCAACTTCCCCTTCGCAGGGTAGAGACCCTGCGACCTACCCCAGTCTGGGCCCCAAGGCTTTCCTAGGGAGGGGCTCCCGCCTAGCCCCTGCCCCAGCCCAGCCCTCAGGCCCTGAGGAGCCTGGGGAGGGGGGCTGGTGTGATGGGGTGTGACGGTCTACCGTGCTGGAGCTGCCCCTCTGGCCCCGTCCAGGTGTACAGTGGGCTCTGGCAGGACAAGGAGGTGATCATCAAGTGTGGCATTGAGGAGGCCCTGAGTGCCAAAGCCCGGCCAGATGTGGCCCCCCGGCGGGACCTGGTGCTGTTTGACAAGCCCACCAGAGGCACCTCCATCCAAGAGTTCCGGGAGATGACCCTCAGCTTCCTCAAGGTCAGCTTCTCTCTGGGGCTGTCCAGTGGCTGTGTCCATCTGGCCCCCTCCCAGGCCTAGGCAGGGATGGGGAAGGGGGTAGTGGGAGTCAGCGCTGCAGGGATGAGGAAGACACCCCACCCTGCTCCCACGACCCTCTGTCCACTCCAGCATTTCCTGAGCAGGGGGCAGCCCCAGGGTTGAGCTGAGCCCCCTCCCAGGGGGCCGATACTAGGCTCCAGGAACCCCCTCGTGGAAGGTAGAGCAGGCAGGCCTGGAAGGCCAGGGCTTGGGTCCCTGATGGGGGTGGGCAGTCAGCGTCTGAGTGACCAGGAGTGACTCTTCTGTCTGTGGCCCCCTGCAGGCGACCCTGGGGGACCTGCCATCCCTGCCGTCACTGGTGGGGCAGGTGCTGGCCATGGCCGACTTCAACGAGGACAGCCGGGTGTCACTGGCCGAGGCCAAGTCCGTGTGGGCCCTCCTGCAGCGCACGGAGGTCCTGCTGCTACTGGCGCTGCAGGGCAAGGACCACACGGCGCGGCTGCTCGGCCACTGTGGGGACCTCTACCTGACCGACGGCCGCCCACACGGCTCTGCCCAGGCCGCCGCGCTGCCCGCCCCGCTGCAGCCCCTGCTGCCCACGGCCATGCTGCGCACCCTGCAGCAGTGGGTGGGTCCTGCCTGGCCCTGGCGGGCCAAGGTGGCCGTGGGCCTCCTGGAGTTCGTGGGGGAGCTCTTCCACGGCGCCTACGGGACCTTCTACATGTGCGACACCACACTGGCCAACGTGGGCCACACGGCCAGGTACGAGTTCAAGATGGCTGACCTGCAGCAGGTGGCACCCGAGGCGGCCGTGCGGGCCTTCCTGCAGGGCCGGCGCTGCGAGCACAGCGGGGACTGCACCTACGGCCGTGACTGCCGGGCGCCCTGTGACCGCCTCATGCGCCAGTGTAAGGGTGACCTCATCCAGCCCAACCTGGCCAAGGTGTGCGAGCTGCTGCGGGCCTACCTGCTGCCCGGCGCCCCCGCCGCCCTGCGCCCCGAGCTGGGCCGCCAGCTGCGCACCTGCACCACGCTGAGCGGGCTGGCCAGCCAGGTGGAGGCGCACCACGCGCTGGTCCTCAGTCACCTCAAGACACTGCTCTGGAAGGAGATCTCCGAAACCAAGTACTCCTAGCACCTGGGGCTGCCGTCACGCCGAGCCACCGCTGTCCAGGGGGACCCCAGGCCGAGCCACCGCTGTCCGGGGGGGACGCCATGGAGAGCCATTTGGTGTCTTCCTGCTGGCCCTTTGAGGACCCTGTGCAGTTCCCACGGTCTCGTGGGGACCCTGTGTAGAGCATGGGTGTCCCTCGTAGGGCCTTTGACAACCCCGTGCAGTTACTGTCCAGTAGGAACCCCTCCTAGGACCTGTGAGAGCCCCCGCAGAGCCACCACCGTCTGGGAGGAGCCCCATTCAGAATCACTGGCCTCTGGTCCTCCCTCCCAGGACCCCTTTGGAGCCACTGCTGGCCTAGTTCCCTCCTAGGATCTGAGGCCTCCTTCCTGCATCCACTTTCTGCATCATCCCGTGCACCCCTTGCTCGTGTGCCTACAGTGCAGGACCCTGGCTCCTCTGCCTGGCACCCCTGCTGCACCTCGCGGTACCCAGCACCCTCCTCTTGTTGCAGGCCTGGCAGCTCCTTGGTCTCCCAGCACCAGAGGACAAGGCTATGAGGGGTCACAGGAGCCAGCACCCCCAGGAAAAGGGGGGACATGTCTTCTCAGGGCTACAGTGGCCCTGGGACTCCATCCCAGCCTGACCATGGCTGCCTCCTCCCTGTGGATACCACCACTGACCTCAGCACAACCTCTGCCCCCAGCATGAGGGCCTCAAACTCCAGCGGACCACGGGATGAGGGGGTCCCAGCACCAATAAGGAAGCAGGAACTGGACCAAGGGTTCTCAGGTGGTTTGGGTTTTGTTATTTTGAACAAGGTGTAAATAAATAGCTTTTCTGTGACCCCCTCCCTCCATGTCTCTGGGCAGTGCCTCTCTGGCATACTAGGGTTCCCGTCACCCCATGTGGGCCAATTTTTGGTCTGCCTCTGGTCGCTGGGGAGGGACATGGGCCCTGACCACTGCACCCCTGGCAGCACCTGCTAACACACTTCACCCTAGCCGGGTAGGGGAGGATTAAGGATAACGAACCCTGGTGGTGCAGCGGTTAAGAGCTTGGTCCTTAAAACCCTGCTCCGGTGCAGATTATCACCTCCAGAATCACTATAGGTCCCCATCTGCTGGACAGCGGGGAGTAAGGGCACAAGGGAGGCCCACTGAGGCAGTGGGCAGTGACAGGGTGCGCCTGCCCGTCCAGCTCCCCGTGGGTCTGCACCCAGCCAGAGGGTAATTAGACCCCATGCTCAGGGTGTGTGTGGAAGGGTCACCGGCTCCACTAGCGTGGACCCCCTGACACTGACGCCCTGGGCCAGGGCAGCCTGGACAGAAAATTCTTCCAGAGGCCACCTTGCAGCTCAAGCATGACACTGTGGAACCTAACAGGGGCAGACCTCACTGTCAACTGTCAGGCCCCCAGCACCCACCCCCCCGGCCTGGGTCACCAGGGAGGCCTGTAAGCTGCACCTGAAGGTCTACCCTGCCCAGGTGTGCGGTCGGAGCAGCGAGCAGACAGCCCCAACTCCACGTGGGCTGAACCCCGGTCCAGGGTAGATGAGGGACCTGGATGTGGGGGAAACCAGGATCCAGTAAAGCTGAACCTTACTCTTCAACAGCAGCACCCCCCACACACACAACACAGTGGGGCTGGGAGGGGGCTTATCTGCCCCCCAGGGGTGGACAACCCGGAGCACCTCCCCTGCAGGCAAGACGGGCTCCCCTCCAACAGCCTCAGCAAATCAGACCGGAAACGCAATCCATCCATTCAGCTCAACATCAATTTATTCTCACTGCCAACAGAAACCACTCACTGGAGGCAGGCTGTGTGTAACCCCACCGGCCATGTCCCCCGCGGGGGTGCTCGGGGAAGCAGAGGGTCTTCTGTGTGGGAAGACAGTTCTGAAAACTCATCTCAGGACTTCTTCCAAGCTCCCAACTGTCAGCCCTGTTCCTGCCAGAGGCAGAACTGTGCCCCAGGATGCCATTCAGCTGGGCAGGGCTCACCTGCTGGTCCCTTCCAGCACAAAGTCCAGCTGGGACCTGTCATCTGCGGTGAGCAGCGGGGTCACCAACTGCGCAGCAAAACAGGAGACCAGCTCAGAGCTGAGCCAGTGGCATCTGCCTACACAGGACCTTGCTGTCCTTGCCTGCGGACACAAGCCACCTCTCCACAGCCAGCCTCTTGCCCCTGCTCATCGCCTCTGGGCTCCACAGCCCCAGGATTGGGCTGGCCACCTGCACAGGGCCCCTTGGTGGAAGGAGAGCCAGAATCCTCACCTCAGAGTGGACGGGCCAGCTGGCTTCTGCAGGGTCCCCACCTGTAGACAGAAGCCAGTCAGGTAGAGGACCAGCACCTCCTGCTGACAGGAGCCCAGCACACTGCTGGCCCCACCCTTGGCACCCGTGTGCCAAACCCAGGACCTCCCTGTGAGGGTGGAGAATGGGGTTCTCACACTTTGTATTTTAGTTGTTCAGGCTATTTTTAAAAAGATGATTTTGGAAAAAACACGTGACAGCTTACTGGGTTCAAGGAACTTAAAATGCACCCACTCCCTGGTCCTTTCCTGTGTCCCCACTCCCTGGAGGAAGGGGCGTCCTAGAAGGCCCAGCATGTTTCCTTGGGCTCAAGGAACCCCCACCACACATGGCTCACCAGACAAAAGGCCACAGTTGTCCGGCCACCCCATCAGGACTGTCAGGCTAGAAAGCATTGAGTGTTTGCGGGTTGAACACTGAGCATAGAAATAGCCACTTCCTCTTTGCCCCGATGCCTCAGGTACAGCAGAGCGGCCACACATGTGGTGCTGACAGGTCCAGGGCAGCCAGTCCTCCTGCCCAGCCCCCCCCAACACACGCAAGGCACACTGGGACGGGGCTGCCTCCCCTCTTACCTGGGTGTGTGCATGCCCGGCAGTGAGGAGGTCACGTGGCCAGCATCCACATCAACTCTCAGAGAAGGCTATCATCTTCCTTCCTGGATGGGAACCAGCAGCAGCGTCAGGCTCTGGGTCAGTGTTGAGCTGAACCCCAGCAGACCCGAGGGTCCCAGGACAGCAGCCACTCACCACAAAGGGCGGCAAGGCCCCCAGGCTGCTGTGTCTTAAGAGGGCCTGACCAAGGTGAAAATCAGGGCACATCCATGTGACACCCAGTCCTGGCTGCTGTAAACATCACCCCCAAAAGCCAGGATAAAATTAGACACGTTTATCCAAAACCACCTTTTGGGGATCTAAAACTACCAACAGCACACAACAAATTTAGAACTGTTCAAATAAAACAAGCAGTTCGGGGGGAGTATTCTCCATCCTCAGCATTGAAGGGCTGGAGTTTCTGCTGCACATCTAGGCTACTCCAGACAAGTGCAGCTTACTTAAACATCAAATGTCAACATTTTAATGGACCAAAATAACTCACCCACTCAGAGGGTATACGCTCACCCACCCCCGGGAAACCCCAGCGCCCCCACTTTCCTCACCAGTGACAGGACCTGCCCCTCCTAAGTGCCAGGGGCTTTGGGGGAGCCTGTGAGGCCGCTAATCATTCAGAGAGTTCACTGCAGAACACAGAGCGTAGACAGGGCCTAGGTGCTCTCCGCCCCCAATGACACAGGGGAGGCACCACAGCCGCCCTGCAACGCCTCTGGGGGCAGGACCCCGCGCCCCACACTCCGGGGACACCCAGGACTGACCTGTGCCGGCGGTCATGGAGAGAATGTCACGCGAGAGGCTTCGCTGCAGGTTCTGGAGTGCACCTGTCCCAGCTCCAGTGTCACCTCACCCCGCGATCTCGGCGCCCGGGCAGCTGTTTCCAGCAGGCAGGGTCCCTAGAGAGCCGGCCAGGGACGGGTGACCGCCAGGCTCCCCGGGATCATGTCACACAGGCGTCGGTGTAAGTCACCCGGCAGCTGCCGTGACCTTGAAACCCGCAGGTTCTCCTTGGGGGGGGTCCCCACTGCAGCCGCCACGTGGATGTCCCGATCCACCCCGAACCTACTCATCCCCCGCCCTGGGGTCCCCGCCCCGGCTGTCAATCAGAGCTAGGTTCCCCCCCCCCGCCGCGAGCCTGCCCATCAGCAGGACCCCGGGCCGCGCCCCGCGGGGTCGATGACCAGCAATGGCCCCGCCGATGCGGGGGGGCGGCCGCCGGGGGACAGTGCGCGTACCTGCAGCTGCCCGCCCCCCACGCACCCCGCGCGGACGGAGACCCCAAGAGGCCCAGGAGGGAGGCGACGGGTCCAGAGGCGGTGGACATCTACAGGGCAGGGGGCGGACGTGGGGCATCGGCGGCAAACGTCCACGCGAAGGGCCGAAGGAAGCCCACGCACGGCCACCACACGGCGATCGTACGGCCACCGCACGGCGATCGCACGGCCACCGCACGGCCATCGCCCAGCCGCCTCCGCCGCCCGGAAAGGACACTCGCACCGAGGCCACGCCCTTTTATAGTCCAGACGGCGGCCCGCGAGGGCCAATCCACGTCTGCGCCGCGTGGCCCCGCCCACTGCCGCTGCGCCCCCTGGTGGAAGCCGCCGGCAGCTGCATTCCGGGTCCCCGGTCCTGGCGCACGTGGTCCAGCCCCGCGGAGCTCAGCCTGGGCCGGGGCAAAGGATGTCCTTGCAGATGGGTTCATAGGGAACTAGCCGACTGCGACTCCTTGCCACCCTATGAGAAACTATGAGAACACCTGTCCTGTGCCATCCTCCCCATCTCTGAGACACCTGAGCCCACTGCTGGCCGCGGTCAATCCATCCTGTCCAGGCTCTTCCTCCCTGACTTAGTCTGACCCTCTGCCTTTCAGAGCATGATGTCCTTCTCCAAGGACTGGCTTCGTCTTACAAGCCCAAAGTATGTGAGATGAAGCTTCACCATTCTTGCTTCCAAGGAGCACGCTGGTCTCACTTTGTCCAAGACAGAGCTGTTTGTTCTCTTGTCAGTCCACCGGGTATTCAGAACACCCCGACTCAAAGGCATCGCAGAGCAGTCATTCCAGTTAGGGGATTATCATGCAAGAGACCCCAGCACA